TTGCCTCAATTATCTAGGATTATTTTGTTATCTTTTTTTTTTTGACATTATTTTCTTCATGTTTTTTTTATGCTGTCTATTCTTAAATTTTTTATCTCTTTTTTTGTTCTTCTATATTTTATTTCACCGTTTTTTTTCTCTCTTTATTTTTCTGTTCAGTTCCTTAATGTTTTTTGTTCTTTCATATTCATCATAAATGCGTAATAGTTTGTTTAGTTGGCAGCCATGGGCCAAAAAAAAAAAAAAAACCTGAACCTTATATTATTATCTCTTTATTTGTTCTTCTATATCTCATTTTACCGGTTTTTTTTCCTTTATTTTTCTGTTCAGTTCGCTGATGTTTTTTGTTCTTTCTTATTCAGCATAAATTCTTAATAGTTTTGTTGGCAGCCAGAGATATTATCAAGTCATGTTTAAATTATTGATGATATATGTTGCTAGCAGATTAAAAGAAATATATGAACCTTATATGTTTTATTTATATATGTAAAAAAACTGTTTCCTAGATATAGAAATTTATTACATATTTTAATATTTTTGTGACATTTATGAATTTTGTGTCATGTTTTGTTTGTTTACTTCAATATTATTATTTTATTCTCATTTTTTCCCGACAATTTCTCTTATTTATTTAGTTGATATATGTAAAGAATGTATATTTTTCTATCTACCGACAAAAAAATTGTATCTAATTTGTTTATTAGAGTAAACGTAATGTAATAAATTATGTGTATTAGTTTTTTTTTTCTTTCTACAACAATTGCCATAAATTGTATTTTTTAAAGTAATAATAGTTTCATAGTATTTTTTTTTATTTCTAACAGATTTGACGTTTTGTTCAGAGTTGTATTTATAAACAAAAAAAAAGAATAAAAATCTGCACTCTTGGCTATTCGTTAGCGCGGTTTTCTCTTGAATACAAAAGTGAGATTTTCAACGTTATATTGCATATTTTATTTATATTTTATACAAAATGTGTTTTGTTACTTAGGCTCCATTCTTTTTGCAGATTTGAGTTTAAAATTTGAGTTTTGCTACAGTAAAAAACTTTCAGAAACAGTCACATCTAACTTTTTTGTTACAGTAAAAAGTTCTCACACAACATCACATCTCAATTCGAATTTTAAACTCAAATCAATAAAATGAACGGACCCTTAATATTTTATATATTTATATCCACGTTTTAGTATGTAAGCGTTTTCCTTTATGAGGTATTTATTAATTTCATGTTTATTATTCGATAACACTGCACACAAACAGAATAGAAATAATACATTTTTTTAATGGTTAACTATAACTTATATATTTATTTCAAATCTGTATTAATAATTTATCTGTAAGATATATAATTATAGATTAAAATAAAAGAACTGCTTTCATTGATAACTATACCACCGTGCAAATGCACGGGTAACACACTAGTTATTACTAGAAAAGCTAGTTTGCAAATTATTCAATAAGTGTTGTGTATCATGTAATACATCCTTCTAAAATATTAGTATATCATTATAAATATACACCTCTCGTGATCTAATGTTGTTCTTTTTTCCCTCTTCAGGTTTTTTGTTACCTTGAGATTTCTTAAAATAAGAGAGATGACAAAGAATGAATCCCTCCTTTTTATAGGAAAATGAATTCCACCTAGTTAAAAAAAAGTGGAGTGACAACCACTCAATAGAGAGAGCCAAATTGAACTTCACATGCTGAAATTTAGTAAAAAAAAATACAATACGTGGCATGTATAGCCCGTTCACTTTGTTGATTCGAGTTTGTAATTCGAGTTGAGATGTGATTTTATGTGAGAGCTTTTTATT